TGGACATCTCTACAATATTAAATCTTATAATCTTTGAACGTGGTGAATCCTGTTCTATTTTTTAAAATTCTTCTTATGTAGGCTTCTCCTCCTTCTTCTGTGCTGGGGACTGAAATAAGGGTCTTACACATGCTAGGTAAGTACTCTATCCCTGAGCTAGAACCCCAGCCTTGTTTTTGCAGCTTTATGGAAAAAGATCTTGTGCATATTTTGTGACATCTATTCCTAATTATCTCACACTTTTCATGACCACCACATGGAATTACTGTTTGGTTTCAATTTCCATTTTTTTTGTTGCTGGTATATAGATAATTGATTTTTATCTTGGGACTATGCTAAATGTACTTAGCAGTTTTTAATGGTTTAGTTGCATAGTCTTTTGGATTTTTTAAATACTCAAACACATAATCTGTGATTAGGTCATTTATCTTCTTCCTTTCTAATTTTTATGCCTTTAAGTTTCTTTATTTTGAATGGTTACACTGGTCAGAATATTTTGTACAAGACTGAATTGAGGTGATTACAGTCAACATCTTATTTTATTCTCAATCTCTGGAGGAAAGTTTTAGCATTTCACTGATAAGAGTCTGGTGACTGTGGGTTTAAAAATATACCTCTTGTTACATCAAATTACTTTATTTCTATTAGTTTGCATTCTGCATGACTAAGACTATTTAGTAAGATGTTAAAAACTTGAATATTTGACAATAGACTCATGTACATAAGGCCTTTTGACTTACAACAAAAGGGCCACTTCAGTGCAGTGGGGAAAATATGATCTTTTAAATACATGATGATTGACCAATTGCACATGTATATACACATATATATGCATTTGTATGTGAAATGATCCTTTACATTATGCACATTAAAATATTCTAGTGGATTACATATCAAAATGTAGAAGATTAAACAATAAAGCATTAAATGATGACTTAGAAGACTATCTTCATGACCTTGATATAGCTACATTTTCCTAAACAGGACCTGAAAAACCCTGATGCAAAGAAGATCTTTTCATTAAGACACTCCATTGGAGAGGAAAAAAAGCAAGGTAAGATACTGACTGGAAAAAGATATTTCAGTACATATATCAACAAAGCAATTGTATCTAGATTTATTTTTTAAAAATCCTTAAGAATCTGTAAGAGAAACCATGTTAAGAGATGGTCAAGCTAGGCATGGTAACACCACACCTGCTAAGTGGGAGGTACAGGTAGGAGGGCAGGTCATGAGAGGCCCAATCTGAAAAGTAGCCTATAGCAAAAAGGGCTCTAGGTGTGGCTCAAGTGGTAGAGTGCCTGCCTAGTAAGCATGAGGCTCTGAGTTCAAATTGTAGTATCACAAAAAAAAAAATGGTCAAAAGACTTGAATAAGACTTTCATGGAGGATATATCCAAAATGGCTAACAAATCTATGTCACTTTTCAATCATAGAATTAAAAAAAAAGAAAAGGAAACTGCCAGTGCCAAGTGTTGGTGAGGATGTGTAGCAACTGATTCTCACGTGGTATCTACATGTTGCCATGGTTCTTCAGGGCTTACCATTTACGTGATGCTGGCCCAACTTCCAGCCAGTAGCCACTTCATTTCTCTGCCTAAGGACTTTCTCTGGCCTCAAGAACAGTTCAGTCTATCAAAGCAGCAGGCCAGAGGTGTCAGAGAATAAACTCCTAACCAAAGATTGGCTGGAGTGGTATCTGGATATCACAACTCCCTGGCTCCCTGATTTGTGGTTTACACCATTTCTAGAGATCTTCAGTAAAATTGAGCTCCAGTTTTTTTCTTATTTCCTACAGACACGTCTCTCATTTTAGACCTGTAAAATTCATCTTTTGTATTTATGTAGCTATCCATTTGTGTTATAAGACATAGGAATGAAAAGACCAGATTTATGGAAACTCCCTCTGACTTCAGGAGAGAAGATATTTGAAGGAGGGTGAATGAGATTGAAACGGCTGTAACTAGGGCAAGGGTTAGAAATGGCAAAGAGGAGAATGAGTTTTAGAGGTATTGGCTGGGAGGAGGGGGTGACAAGTCTTAGTGAACAAGAAGATGTGTGATTGAAAGAGGAAAGACAGTTTCTTGACTCAGATGTTGAATACTGGTTGAAATATTTTTTACTGAGGTTGCCTTAATAATTTGTTGTTCTTGTAACAGAGGTCCCCCTGGTGGTAAAAGACAACCAATACTGGGAGTCCTTATTCTGAATACCTGCTATTATGGGATAGAGTTTGCAATTGAACATAGTTACAACATCATAGAATAGGGATGCCCTTCTCCTTTTGTGTTGGCAAGGAGTTACATCTAAAATAACTGAAGGTTGGTTGTTGCTAATGGATCAGAAAGTAGGACCTAACAATAGCCTTTACTCACTCAAACAAGGCAGTTTCTGGCTACCCTCTTTCTCCAAGAAACCTCCATGAGGCTAGAGAAGGTTGGCTGATATCTGTGGCACTAAATCCAGCAACCATTGGGGAAATCTCTTAGGGAATACTGATCTTATTTCTTAAGAGCATGGCAGAGGAGAAAGTAGAGACCTTAAAAGCTAGGTTTACCTGAGTTTGAATACTAGCTTTGCTACAAATATGATAGTATCTTATACATAATAGTACCTAGGTGGTTATGAGGTTTCAGGTGATATGTGTAAAGCACTAGCACCTCAACTGTTGGAGGTAGTACTAAGAATTTAGGAGATTGCCTTTAAGGTTGATCATGAATAGGCTAAGAAATATGTTAATAACAAATATGCTAACAAAAGGGAGTGCACTAGAGCAAACTCAAAAGATTACACCAGAGCTAAATGGTGCGTTTAAATAGAGAAGGAAGTACCTTGGAGAGATTTCTGTCTCTGTGCTTTCTCTCTTTAGGTCTTAAGCATAGCCCTTGGAAGAAGAAGGAGGAATTTCTAAAACAGGTATGTTGAATAAGCCTGAATCATCGCCCAAGATGACATATTTCAGAAACTTTCCATTTTAAGCCTTTGGAATCTTCATGATTAAGTATAAATACCTTGCTTGCTATATAAATACATACAGAGTATAACCTTTTGCTGAGTAATGCACTGTGAGAGCCACAGTACAGTTGCATCTAGTGTTTTTCTTTCATGAATCCTTTTGGATTCTGGAAAGCTTGAAAGTGTTAAAGCACATAAGAATTACCTTTCAAAATCACCACAGCCTGGTCTTTTTTTTCCTTCCCAGGAACTCTGTCTGCACATGTATTAGTTGGTTTTATCCATCTGTAAGCTTCTGTAAGCTTGCTGATGAAAACAATTGTATTTTCTTGGCTTAATTGCCGATTATTGAGTGGTCTGTCTTTCATGCTATAAATGTACAATAATGAGAAATGTTCTACTCATTAGAGACCACCAGCAAGCGAAGCAATGGCAAACCAGTTGTTTTATTGATGTGTACAGAAAGTAGCATCTTAAAGTCCAGAAAAATGACCATTGAGAAAATCTACTTTGCTCCACGACACATAGATTATGCCATATTGAATAGTAAATGAATTTGACAAGATTAATGAATTATACATTTCATAAAGAAAGCAGTGAGGTTTTTCTATTGCACTGATTTTCCTGCTTCATATTATATCTGATACCATCTTCTTATTAGTTCTTTTGATTTTAAATTGTTTTGTAGGATTTCTGATGTTTTGTGCTTTTCTGAACGTGTAGCCTAAATCTGCCAGACATTGATTGGGAAGTGGTGGTGGTATACAGAACAAACTGTACAAACAAGTCTGACATTGAGTTTTAGGTGCCTCCTTCTGAGAGGCAGAAACCTGAACTCTCATGAAGTGAAAGTCCAAGCTTCATAGCCCAAGTTCTTGCTCACCCACCCCCATATTGGTTTTCCACAGCTTTTTCCTTTTAGCTTTTTGTAATTTCAAGGGACACTGACTTGGCATTGGCCACAGGATAGTGAAACTCATTATTCAAGTGGTAGTATATTTTCTTGATAGCTAAATTATGTCAGAGTGAAAATGTAAGCAGAAGGCATCTTTTACATGACTGGGAAAGCCTCTTGCTTTGAGGTGCATGATGGAGCTTATGGAGTGCTTGGTAATTAACAGCCAAGTCTTGCCTCAAAAAGCAAAGAAGCTGAAAAATAGCTTTTACAGTATTCTAAAAAGTTATCCAAAGAAGCTTAATGAAAATGGTCTTAAAACAATTTAATTGCTCTCTACTTTCTTAGCTCATAAAATGTAATTTTATATTTGTTTTTAAATTATTTTCTACTATTAATTGTTAACTTTGTAATTTTTAATCTTTTAAGTTCCATATATAAATTCTCATTTGAAATAATTGAACAAGTTTTTGGCCAAATTACATATTGGTCAGTTTCTGTATAAGTGTTAAATGTTGCAACAATTATATTGATATGAATATATATGTACACACACACACATATGTATTATTATTGTCTTTACCCAGACAGCTTCAAAGCAAGAGCTTAAGATATATAATAAATGAATAGATGTGTTAATCTGTGTGAGTATATTGTGAATTAGGGTTCTTAAAAATAACATGATGAAACCCACCAGACACTGTTTGAAGAAGAGGGGAGGAGGGACAGGGGGCTAAGAGGAGGTACACTTGTTCAAAGTACACTGTATTCATCTGTGGAATTAACACAATGAACACTCTTGTACTATTAATATATGCTAATAAAAATAATAAAAAATATGCATGTTTTATTTGTTTTGGGGCACTTAGTCTCTCCTTTTGCATGTTGGCTTTCTGAGATTAGATCCATCCTATGTAGTGCTAGTGATTGGGATTGATGTGCACATAACAAGCAAAGCCAAAAGCATGCTCCTTCCTACACACCATATCTCTCCCTTTGCTGGTGGTCTCCAAATGTGTGAACCAAAGTGTATGTATTCATGTCTGGGTAGTGCTTTGAATCAAAACAGCATGCTTTGAGAGAACACTGAGTTAGAAAATCTAAACTCATGGCAGTTTGAGAATGACAACAATGAACTGACTCTTCTTACCTTCCGGTATCCCCAGAACTGGTTCCCCTTCATGCCATGACAGTCATAGAGAGTGACAGGGCTACTGTGTGAGATTGCATCAAAGCAGAATTTTCGGGTATGCAGTGGTTCACCAGGTCGAATATCTTCTCTCCATCCAAAGGTGAAGAACTAGTAAAGCAACAGTAGTAGAAAAGCTCCAGTGAGCTCAATATGGAAAGAAGATCCCACAGCGGGGGAGGGAATATGTCTTTTAGCAATATTAGAACCTCCTGCCTTGTGATTTACAAGAAGGAACTATGTCTTGGCATAATAGAGGCAATGAAAAAAGCACGTTTCATAAAGTGCTGTAATAGCAACAGCTACAGTTAATGTCGGACTGCTGAAAATGAAAATGAGTTTTCAGTTAGGTATCAGAAAAACCAACAGAGGGTGACATATTGGGAATGGGGAGAGAGAGAGAGGGAGAAGGAGAGAGAGAGAGAGAGAGAGAGACAGTAAGAGAGAGAGATGGAGAAGAGGGAGAGGAAAGGAGAGGGAGTAGACAGCAGAGACAAGAAGGCAGGAGATATGAGAGAGGGGAGAGGGAGAAGAAAGGGGAAAAGGAAGAGTCTTTAATAACACTCTTTATATTCTTCATATAGCTAAAAAATTACTGGATCAAATGCCACAGAGTTAGCTTAAATGAGCAGATGAACTGCTAAATGACAAGGTGTAGAGTTGATTTGGATTAATGGTAGCAACTTGAAAGTCTAGTTTAAAGAAAAGTTAACCATGATGAAGCAAAGAATAGGCAAATTAAATCTGTAGGGTTGTTAAGAGAAATCCTACATGGCAATGTAGAAAGTAATAGACTGTAACTCACAGTAAGAGGTACAGTCTACACACACATAGATCTCTGATTTCCAACTGAAATGGAAGTTTGTAGAATGTTATTTACCTTAATTGCATTTAATACTCTGTTATTCTATCCAACTTTTTCCTATCTTAGTCTATCCTATTCATTCCATTCTATTTTATTAAAATGCTATTGATGGTGCACTAAATTAAATTGACTTTTACAATGAATTAAATTAACAAAAGCACTCCTGTAGGGGAAGAACATTTTCTTGAGTTATTTGAGCAAAACTACATTTCAAGGATACAATAGGAGAAACCCTTAATTAAAGGGGAAAGTGGACTAAATGAGCCCCATGATTTCTTCCAATTGTAAAATTTCAGTCAGGTTATATAATTCATACAATAGGACTTAAGGCAGGCTTGGTCTGTGAAGCCGAGCCTCGAACTGCAAAATAAAGGAAAATCCTGATGATATAAAAGCAAGCACGATGCTGAGCTGTATGTAGATAATAAAACTAGCACTGACCAAGCTCTCAGTATATTTTGGTTTTCAGTTACTACTCAGCAAAGAAAGTAGAGACACTGGGATAACTCCAGGGATAGTTAACAAAAGCAGTTAAGTGGTAGGGAGTCTGAAGAAAAATGAAAAGGAAATGGATTAAGTGGTCTGAAGAAAATCTGAAAGAAATGAGCTAAATCCAACATGTGCAACAATATTGAGTATGATGGCAAGTGAATACATTCTGTTTTCCTGGAAGACAGGACAAAAGAGAATGCTTCAAGTAGAAAGACAGGGGCTTGAGGTCAGGCATTTGAAATAGATTCATGAAGAGGAATTGTGTAGTCTCTTTTCCTAAAGGTTTTTTTTTTTTGAGTATGATTGTGGACGGAGATTGTTTTAGACTCATTTAAATCCTGCACAGGAGAATGGCTTCTCAAGAAGTTTCTATTTGGCTGACTTTTCTAATAAGAATGTGCCATTCCCATGGCTTTTGAAATACTGTGCTCTTCCCATTCTATACCTCTATGTTGTGCACATTTAAAAAAAAAACCTATCTCTTCAACATAGGTGGTGGCCAGGATTCTCTCTCCTCTGTTGGACTTACATTTCCATAGTTCAACTTCTCACCAGTAAGCTGATAATTCTCCATCTGTGTTCTGTCCAATTTGTAGGATTTCCCAACTGTGCATCCCATGGATAGCTCCAAGTCAACAGATTCTAAACTTAGTTGATTTTCTTTCCTTCTAGCCTGTTCCTGCTCCTTTATTTTGTTTTGTTTGGTGGTAATACCTTTCAACTTGTCAATTTGGGAGTCTTTAACTCCTTGTCTCTGTTACTTCTTTGTCTCTCTCTAGTCAATTACCAAGTTTTGCTACTTTTGTCTCATGAACATTTCTGGAAACAGTCTTTTTTTCTCCATCCCCACAACTATTTTTTTCAGGATCTCTTGTCGAGACTATTGCAAGACCCCTTAACTGATTTGCTTCCTATCTTCTGTTTTTGGTTCCTACACAATGATTTTTCTCAGCCTTCAGAGAAGACCATTTGAAATGCCTGTTTAACCATGTTTTCTCTCAACCTAAAATCTCACATTTTCATATAACCCTTAAGGAATAAAGTTCAAACTCTTATTACAGGAGGAGCTTTCTACAATCTGGTGTCTGCTGTTCTCCCCAGCTACATCTTTTTTCTTTTAGTTGTTTCAGCACTAAGATGTTTGTAATTCCTCTCACAAAGCAGGCTGTATTTCCCCTTCTGTGACTTTGTTCATGAGACTGTCTTGGAAGATCAACATTCAGCCTAGTAACTGCTCATTAATCTTTTTTTTTTTTTTTTTTGGCAGCACTGGAGTTTGAACTCAGGGCCTCATGCTTGCTAGGCAGGCACTCTACCACTTGAGCCATGCTGCCAGCCCTCATCAGTGCTTTAAGATAAAGTGAAGGTGTCCACTTATCAGAGAGGCCTTCCTCTTTGGACTGCTTCCTCCTTTTCATGCCTTCCTTCATTTCATCATGATCATATCTCTCACTGGACAACAAAATCCTTGATGGAAGGGGTCAGATCTGTTTTTTTTTTTTTTTTTTTGGTTTTTTTGTTTTTATTTAAAAAATTTTTTTTTATTATTCATATGTGCATACAACGCTTGGGTCATTTCTCCCCCCTGCCCCCACCCCCTCCCTTACCACCCACTCTGCCCCCTCCCTCTCCCCCCATCCCCTAAATACCCGGCAGAAACTATTTTGCCCTTATCTCTAATTTTGTTGTAGAGAGAGTATAAGCCATAATAGGAAGAAACAAGGGTTTTTGCTAGTTGAGATAAGGATAGCTATACAGGGCATTGATTTCCTGTGCGTGTGTGTTACCTTCTAGGTTAATTCTTTTTGATCTCACTTTTTCTCTAGTTCCTGGTCCCCTTCTCCTATTGGCCTCAGTTGCTTTTAAGGTATCTGCTTTAGTTTCTCTGAGTTGAGGGCAACAAATGCTATCTAGTTTTTTAGGTGTCTTACCTATCCTCATATCTCCCTTGTGTGCATTGGCTTTTATCTTGTGATCAAAGTTCAATCCCCTTGTTGTGTTTGCCCTTGATCTAATGTCCACATATGAGGGAGAATATATGATTTTTGGTCTTTTGGGCCAGGCTAACCTCACTCAGAATGATGTTCTCCAATTCCATCCATTTACCCGTGAATAATAACATTTCGTTCTTCTTCATGGCTGCATAAAATTCCATTGTGTATAAATACCACATTTTCTTGATCCATTCGTCAGTGGTGGGGCATCTTGGCTGTTTCCATAACTTGGCTATTGTGAATAGTGCTGCAATAAACATGGGTGTGCAGGTGCCTCTGGAGTAACCTGTGTCACAGTCTTTTGGGTATATTCCCAGGAGTTCATACCAAGTTTTTCACTCTTTTTATAAGAGGATGAAAAATGAATTTTCCATCTCTGCCAAAACTAAAAACTTGTTCCTCTCACTGGCTGAGTCTATAGCCCAGGCACTAAATGTCACTTTATGCTATGTTTGTGGGGGGGACCAACATGGGAAACCATTGGGCTTTAGAAAAAGATGACAAATGGCCTTACATGTAATATAAACCCCTAAGTTAAGATGATGCTCTTTGACCCTAAGTGGGCCGAGCATCAAAGGGGGGAATAATGTAGCAGGAAGGAGATCAGAAGAAAACAGTCTAGGCCTGAGTCCTGAGAAAGTAGCAGGGAGGTAGGGATGGCGTAGCAGAGAGATAAAACCTGAGAAATCTGAACATGAGGATGGTCATGCAGCACCATGGAGGGGAAAGTCATAGCACTAGGGTAAAGTAGCCAATAAGACTAAATATAACCATATATGGATTAGATCTTGCCTTTTGCTTCTGTGACCTGCGTTTCTAGCACTCATAAAAATTCATAAGGCACAATAGGTGCTCAATAAAATTTCTGTTGAATAAATCCAACTATACTCATTATCTTAAGAGAAAACATGCTGAAATTGTCATAGGTACTTAGAGACTGCTTCTGACTCTTTACTTGGCCCTTAAATTAACTAAAAGTAGAATAAAATCCTGACACCTCAGCTTCCATTATTCATTTGTCTCCTTTGCTTTGAGTCTCCTAAGGTCACTAGGAGTGACAGGACTGATCATTTACATCTTTATCACAAGAGACCAAAATTATCCCCAAGGAAAGGAACAGCAGAGGACTGCAGGACTCTACTTCCCAAATGAGGACCTATGATGATGAGGCTGCATCCTGGAGCAGGAATAATCTTATGAAAACTTCTGGTTGCTCTCCTCAAATGATGAAGATGATAACAACTGAACTGATAAAATGATCAACCAGGTCACATTTTGCCTGGGACTGCTTAATTATGTATACCTCTCACTCCCCTCCTGTGTTCCTGTAAAAGTACTCCTAATGTTAGGATGCTCAGGGTCCTATCATGCACCTGTACCCATATCTGGACGTGTACTATCCTATCCTATGTGTCCATGCCTTGTCTAGGAGGCATGTCTCTTTTTAGCTTTACTAGGTGAATAAATCTGTTCTTTCCTTTCTTTATGTCTCTGCCTGGAATTCTTATTTCATGCTTAGAGGCAAGAATCTAAAGGGTCAAGTTGAAGAACCCCTTTCTCCTTTTTTGGGGGGAATTTTTCAAGACCCTTACCCACAACCAGTGACAAAATAACTGCCGAGATTAAAGGATTAATCTTTTTTTTTTTTTTAAACAGGGTCTCCCTATGTAGCCAGGCTGGCTTTGAACTCTCTATGTAACCCATGTAGGCCTTGAACTGTAGATCCTCCTGCTTCAGCTTCCTGAGTTCTGATACTACAGGCGTGTACCATGATGCCTGGCTTGGAACAAGCAGTCTTGATTGGTTTATCCATTTCCTTCTCTGTCTCTCTTTTTAGTTTTCATTTTCTCAGAAGGTTGAAGGTGAATGGGACTTTAATCACTACCCAGCATAGACTTTCATTACACAGTAGGGGAAAATAAGGCCTGCGGGTTAAATGGTTTGCCTCTCACACACCTCAAGTATCCAGGTTTCTGTTATAGGTAGTCTTCTCATACCTTTTATTAAATAGATCAGTGAAGTTCAAAAAAATTATTGTGTTATAACAAATCTGAATCTCAGTTGTTTTCATCTTTTGTCACAATTATATTGCAGGACATCCTAAGGTGACTTTTGTTTCTTGTTTCTAGGTTTGTTATTATAGTGTAATGATCATTCTTACATTTGTGGACTGACTGTTAGAATGTAATTTTCATACTGTTTTATGCATTGCTATTATTATTATCACCTGGTGATTACATTCCTGCATCCCAAGTGAAACATCTCCAGTTTATACCAATTGCTTTATTCTTCTGCACCTACCATTAACTAAAATTTTTCTCTCTTATGTCTTCTAAATGCTTTTATTGCTATTTCTTTTATCGTAATAGCCATGTCTAACCAATTAGGCATTGAGTCTTTCATTCATTAGGCACACTTTCCTGTGTGCAATCTTGTCAAGGCAGAAACAAGCAGACATTATGAAACGATTTTCATTGTTTGATTTGGGTAATGTTACTATGACATTCATACTTTGCCTGCTGTTCCTATTGACAAAAGCATCTAGATTTCCTTCTGCTTCCCTGTACAAAAACCACTGATTTTTTTCAAACTCAAATCACACTTTTAAAATAAATAGATGTTAATTTCTCCACTTTCTTCTTTTGAGTGATGCTTAAGTTTTTTTGATTTAGAATTATGACTCATTTCTTTGCTTTAATATTCATGTGGTATGGGTAACCTTCCTGGGTCTGTATTGTATTATGTGAATAATACATTCGATTTGGTACTGGAAATACACTTGTCTTAATCTGGCTACCTGATGAAACAATTGAAAAATATTTTTTTCTCTCTGTGGGTGGTTATATTTTATTTCATTTTTTTGTGCTTTGCAGAAATCTGAGACACAATATTCTTGTTGCAGTTTATACCTATCAGTGTGCTGTCTTGTTAGTGAGATTTTTTTTTCCCAAAGGAAAGGAATTTGTCCTTTCCGCTGCATGCATTGATTTGCTTCATCTCTGTTTGCATATCTTTCCCCCAGGCCTTGGAAAAGGAGCATTTGTCTGCTTCCTCAGCAGGATGAAGAGGCTTGCTGCAAGGCTGCCTTCCCCAGCATGAGATCAGAGCCTGCTGCTGATCCTGCAGAGAGGGAACTGCCCAAGCTGGCCAAGGAGAGTGCTGCCTCCATTCTACCTCTCATTGCTCTTGGACTTAGAATGGGAGTTGGGGAGGATCCTTTACAGACCTTACAGTCTTATTCGGATCTGTTTTTATTTTTATTTCTTGATCCCTAAAGGAAACTGAAGGCCAGCACACAATGCTGCAGTGATATCAACAATTAAATAGATCACCCTGGAAGAAGGAATCATACATCTGCTTCCTTCACAGAAGCCAGATGAGTCATAACTAGTGTTCTGCCACAAAAAGCATTTCCTTATAAAGGTGCTTCACTGGACTCTTCTTTGCTTCCCATGTAACAATTTTGTTTATTCACTTCTATCAATTTTTTTTTCTGGACAAAAGAGAGATCGTTTCAACTGTAATAACCACAACCTTTAAATGAATGTTTTTGAATTAAAAAAATACTCATAATTTCCATGGCTTTATATTGCTTTCATCTAAGAATTTCAATCTCGGTGTAAAGTAATGAATTGTAATTCTTGAAAGTCATTAAGTAATGTATTAAATAATGCTTATTCAGTACTAGAAAATGAATCAGCTTATATTGTTTTAACCTCAGTCAATATATGGTGATATATATTTTAAATAAGATTCATTTTTCACCTCTTGTCAACTTGTAATCTCCTGGTAGCTTCATTTCTACGTTCTCAAGAGCCTGGAAATCTTCGCTAAGTGTTACATTAACTGGCATTTTTTTTTTCTGTGCACATAGATTTTCTGCTTGTCTAGTGCTGCCCTCTGGTGACCATTTCTTAAATTGCATGCCATAGATTTTTGCAGTTTAGCCTAAGGGGAAAAACATGTAGCAGTAATTTTTAAAGTGTGTGCATATAGTTTGTTTTGTTTATATCCATTTCAGCTGCCAAATAAAATTTTCAGGCAAAAGCAAATTTCACCCTTGAATGTTACTGGATAGAAATATCAAACTTGATGAGTATCTTTCAAACCAACCAGCTGGTTGGGCTGAATAAAGGTGGTTGGTAGAGATGAATTTAGCCCAAAAGACATATAACTTGCTCCTTTTTCTTTTTTAAAAAAATGTCCTCTCCAGCATTAGATGCCAGTCTCACTGATGGCCTCTCGAGCATTCTCTCTTGCTCCCAGACTGAAGTCAGAATTATTTGTTGGAGGTAACAGCCAACACTGTTCCTCTGATCCTTGGCAAAATCCCTCTGGTGCTTATAGAAAGAGAGCAAGGAAGGTGGAAGCAAGTAAGTTTTCTCTGATATTTGATTCTTATCAGTTAATCCTGGAGCCACAGAGCCTTCTTTAAGACTTATCTGATAAGAGTCTACATCCTGCAGGATACACTGGAGTGAATGATAACTAATAACGTGATGACTTTGCTGGGAATGGACAAATGAAGCCTAAGTCACAGCTGCCCCAACCTGAGAGAGATTTCTAATTTGCTATCAACATAAAGTGACTTTGTGTTGTGTGTGAGTGGGAAGAAGGGAAAATACAGTGACTCTGTGCCTATTTCATGCACAAGATGCAGTTATATCATAGGTATAAGTTCTTCCTATATAATACTGTTTGGGAAGTGGGTATTATTGTCTTTATTTAAAGATGGAGGAACTATGGCTTAGAAAGACTGAACAAATTCAGAAGGCCACATGGTTTAAACTCAAATCCAGACTAGCCTGACTAAATGGCCCATGGTCCTTCTGGAACACCATGAAGCTGTGTGGGGTAAGAGTACAAGGACCTGATGAATAGTTACAGGAGAGGCCAGTCAGTTAATTAATTGCTGACTCCTTCTGTTGCTGTTTGTCTAGCAACATGCTGCTTTGATTGTAATGCAGGGTGGAGGTGGGGCAAGAAGGGGCAGGGGCTGGGGAGAAGGAGGGGTCAGCATAATGAATCTCAGTATTCCTGAGCAACTCCTTAATGTCTCAGGCATGATAATTACCTAACAGATAATTTTTGTCAAAATTCTTTTGCCTGGATGACTAAAGCCCAGTTAGGCCTATTCCTAGTCTAATATATAAGATAGACACTTGAGGATTTGCTATAGGAGCACAGGAATGCCTACTGAGATCTGCTTGCTAATTTTTTTGGTTTTTATGACAGAGACATATGGGCAATTCTGGAAAAATGGAAGCACTGGTAGGGTATACATTCTTGACCTTGAGATACATCCTTTTGCAGAGGGAGAGAGGGCAATTAGGATGGGGAAGGGAGTTAATTGTATTTATAAGTGTCTTTCTTTAAGTATAACAATAGCCATTGACCCTTGTTAAATAGGTGGGATTAGTACATAAATGTCTGTTAGGTTATTTCCTATTAAATATTTCATAAACTAAAATTAAAACACTAAAAAGGGACAGACACAATTATACTTACTATTTCTTTCACAGGTGACATACTATAAGGAGAGACCCTTTTAAGGACTTTCAAGTTTCAGATCACTCTTCCCTTATACTGAGTTGCATCAAATGCTTTTCAATCAAAAGCAATACATAGTCTTAAAGTACCTCATGAAGTTCATCTTGGGGGTGACTATCTCAGTGATCATTTGTAAGATTAAAAACTACTACAAAAAGAGGTTCATGAACGTACTCTTTTAAATACATTCCAGAAAGCAAAGATAAGACTTGGTGAAGCCTCAAATACAATAACCATCTTTTATTAAAACCTCTCTCTTTCTCTATGTATGTATAGTTAAGTACTGGGGTTTGAACTCTGGGCTTCACTCTTGTTAGGCAGGCACTCTACCACTTGAGTCACTCCACCAGCTCTTTTTTATGTTGGGTATTTTTGAGGTAGGGTCTCTTTAACTATTTGCCTGGACTGGCTTCCAACCAAGGTCTTTCTGACTTATGCCTCCCTAGTAGCTAGGATTACAGACCCGAACTACCCCGGTACCCAGCTAAAACCACAATATTTTGTTGAAATATTTCACTAGCATTTTAAAGGCTTTTTGCGTTTTGAAAACTGTCATTCTGGGAAAAGCAATAAGATTACAGTGAACCATTGTACTAGTCTTTTCATAATAAAGCATATTTGTATCTATTATCTCAATTCATTATCACATCTGTTCTGTGAAGAAACAGAAACACATCTACAGAGCTGATTGGCAATCGAACTACAACCTCATTCCAGGTCCCGCATGCACCATCCAGGTACTTGGGCCCACTCTTTCGCCCCATGCCTTGGCCCCATACCTGTTCATGAGACCATGTCCTTTCAGAGCCATCCTTGACACAGATGTCCAGTCTCAGCTCAGTTCCTGTGGCTCCATGCTTGCTGTCCACACACAGATTTGCTGCTACATTTCTGATCTGTGAAAAGAAGAAAGAACATTGAGTATGGAGCTATTTTTATTGTTGTATTGCTAGTTCCTGACAATCCTGGTACAGATTAGAGAATATTGTCTTTTAAAGAAATATTATTTTATTAGCATATAATAGTTGTACAAGGGATACATTGTGATATTTACACATGTGCTTACAATATATTTTTAAACTATTGTCTTTTTAATACATGACAAGAATAATGTCTTGAATTGTGTATAATTTATGGAGAAAAGCAAGAAATTAAATATAGTTAAATAACACTGTCTACTTTATATATGAAAAACATGACCCAGCCAAATGGTAAAACTGCAGCTGGCTGTAGCAAAGGAATGCATTGACACTGCAACACAGGGAGTAGCATAAAGCTCATGTTCTCTGAAGAGATGGGAGATTTTCTCAGGTAGTGCTTAACTTGAAATTTGTTACATTCTTGCTTCAGGCATCTGCTACCATTATCATTCTCCTGGGAAATGAGGCAGAATCCAAGGCAGGTGATGGATGCAAAGTGTATGATGGAGAGAGAGAGTCACTCAGCATGGTTTGATTCTGGGCAGGATATGGTGACCTTATGTTCCAGGCTGGCTGTGATGGTCTCAGTCTATACATATTGTCATTGTGTAGCATCAACAGAAAGCTTGAGCTTGGAAAAGTTGCAAAGTGAAAAAATCCAATTATCATATTAGCATTGGGGTGGGTAGGAAAAGAATGGACAATAAAAGGCATCAGGGGTAAATGAGTGTGAATATGGTTGAGGTACTTTTTATACCTGTATATGGAACACTAAAACCTGTTGAAGTTATTTTAAGAAGGGGGTTGGGGGAAAAGGGAGAATAATGGAGGGGATGAACCAAATCGGGGTACAATATATGTATATATGGAAATGTCACAATGACACCCCCTGTGTAACTATCACATAGTAATAAAAGTGCTAAAAAAAGAACAGGAACAGCAACAGAAGCAGAGTTTAGACAGAGTAACAAATTTGTCATATCTTCCTGCCTGGAGATTTCATCAGTCCTCTTGTTGCTGTCATAACTGCCACCTATAGTAGAGTTGGATATTGTTTATGGTTTGTTAGTTAGGTGTGCATGCCAATTAAGCTCCATTATCCTAGTCATTTTTATGCCTTCATATAGTACTGGGTTATGATTACTCTTTAGGCATATTTAAGAATGGCAATAAAAATAGAATGGGCCCAACCAATAGTTTTCACCAAGGTTCTTTTCCTGAAATGAATAGGTAAGTAGAGTCTCTCCACAACAGAAGAATGCCCTAACTAGGTCCATTACTCTCAGAGTAGGGCCACGAAGTAGAGAGGTTTGTTGTGAAATATGCTGGTATCATGAAAGAAATAAAGAATTCTGACTTGGAAAAAATGTGGAAGGACCTATTTCATCTTTCATTTACTCTAGGAGTACAGGTTGATACCATGCCATTCAGAAGGGGATTCATGTGGTAATACTGGTTTCCTTATTCAGGGAATTTGGCAGCAGGTTTGGTTCATCTTCCACTACTGGACCACTAGTTATAGGGTCTCTATTTCTGATGTCAGAAGAATACGAAATAATGCAGACTACAAGGTGACAGATTTGGCCTATAGATCTGAGAATCCAAGGACAGCTATGGGCATTTTGGCAAAAACAAACTAACCAGCCAACCAACAAAAGTATAGGTGGATATATATAAGCACTTTTGTGTTCATTTTCCTAGAACCCATCAACTCTGGGCTTGGCCCTGAATTAGGGAAAATGCTTGCCTCCCACTCCTTGCAAACTAATTGTTCTCCTTTTCTTAGTAGCACGGGAGATCCAAAAACACAGGATGAACATGCCTGGTCCTTGGAATGTACCCAATTCACTCTCACTTTTTTGTTTTCTCTAAAACAAGTATGAGAGAGAAACTTCCCTTTGAGATCCAAACTTAAAAAGATGCAGTTGGTAGGGATATAGTTAGTGGTGGAACACTTGCCTAGCATGTGTAATGCCCTGGGTTTGACACCTAACACTGGAGAAAAAAAATAAGCTTTTAAATCAGTTTCTATTTCTAGTGAAATAGAAATGCCCAGGAGGTCAAAATGAGACTTTGCTATTGCTGTCTTTTTTTTATTTTTATTTTTTGGGGCAATGTCTTGCTTTGTTGTCCAGGCCTAGAACTTTCTGGGTAACCCAGGCTGGCCTTAAACTCTTGATCTTCCTGTTCCAGCCTTCTGAGTGCTGGAATTACAGGTGTGTACCACCATACCAGCACAATCTCTGTCTTGAGCCTGGAGCACTCTGTAAAGCTCCTTTTCATCTTTTTATCTGAGTCCAGTGTATTGGTTTTCTAAAGCTGTCTGCAGCCTGATAACCAATTGACAGAACTCTGGACAAGTCTTTCTTTTCATCAGTGGGCCATTTAACTCACAGACACATTCTTCTTAGAGAACCAAAAATCAATTTATATGGTGAAGTCCTCTTCAGGGCACTATTATTCTTTTGGCTTGAGTCTAGGAGCTCTAAACCACATTCCAGGGAATTAAAAACAACAACATAAAAGCAGCTGTTTATAGGTTACTGGCCACTTGGACACAGAGGATGGTTTTGTCCTATGTGAGTTGGCAATGGAGGGATTCTGTTCTTGGAAAAGGAGGAAGAAAAGAACACACACAAGCCAGGGACACGGAATGGCATCTCTGCCAACTCTGCCCATGGATACACACCAGGCCTATTGAAGAGCCTCATTTAGTTTTCAAATGTTATGAGCTCGAAAGGGCTTTGGCAGGGATGGAGGACACCGTTTTCTAAACTCTTGAATTTTCTAAATTCCCACTCAGATGGCATCTGTGTAGACAATGGGATAAACTGCTTTGGAAACCAAATTTCAAGTTTCAAAGGCATAATTGTCTACATCTGTGTAAATTCCAGCAAAAAGTTGTGCCAGAGAAGAAATGTTGGGAGTTCAATACAGGATGAGGTAGGCAGCTGCATGCATTATTAACATCCGGCCATTCTCTTTTGCTTCTCTCCCCCTTATCTTTTTATTACCATCTCGCCAGCATATTCTCAGTCTCACCATTTGTTCACAAGCACAATTCCATCAAAATAAATAGGCGAATAAAACTCCAATAGAACTGTTCCTCTGACTTGCTTATTCACTTGACTAAAGTTTTCAAAAATGTAGCCAAGAATATTATACATGATTCATATTTTTTTTCAATATGGGTTCTGTACTGTGGCTGAAGATGAAGCAGTTCACATACGTCCCAAATCTAGAACACGGATTTTATAAATTATAAATTTATGACAGGAGAGATTATTTTCAGGCTTTCTTTCTTTGATGTCCAGCTTCAGAGCTTGACATCATTAAAATTGTGTCAAGGACTCCTGAGGGAGGCTGAGCAGGATTAGAAAGTGAGGTAGTGCTTGACTAAGAGTGGGCAGGAGGGGTAAAATGAAGGAAAAAGGAATCTTTACGAATGATAGGATTATATAGATAAACTCCTTTGGGGCAAGAATTAGGAAGAGGTGGGGCAGAGAGAGTAAAGGCTTTTTTTTAGGTATGCAAGAGGAGTCAGGTTCAAGTTTAACATAGTTTAATTTTCCCAATCCAGAAGGCTTTTATAAAAGAGGTGTGAGAGAAGGAGTGTGGGACAAATGTTAAGGTGGTTAGCAGATATGGACTAGGTAGTTCATTTTTGTGGGGGAAAGGGAGGCAGTAGGTAATTCAGTTGACTCAACAAATGAGAGCCATAGTTTGCTAATTCCTCCTGTTAGTCTTGGGGTCTTTTAAGTGAAGTACATTACTCATTCCACAAAGATTTATTAAGAATCTGCTATATCCAGGCTCTGTTCTCAGTGCTAGGTACATAGTGAAGAGTAAACAAGAATCACTTTCCTCCATTGTGTGGTTTATTGTATAGTCAGGAAATTAGAAAGCACATGGATGGAAGAAAACATTGAATCTCCTAATATTTCTGGCTATCAATTTTAAGTATGGCATAAGGAATCAACACACTCCCCTGCATTAACTGGAGATAATCTTAGAAGGCAAATTTATATACAGTGTTAGAAAGACAGGAGACACTAGTGTAGGACGGAGAGAGAATGGAGTATAGGTTCAATTTCTGCTCAGGGGGTACAAATTAGTTTTTCTATAATCTTAGCCATGGACACTCCTTTTGAAAGCCCAGTTTATTAATTTATAAAAAGTCCACATTTGAGGAGTGCTTTTGAAGAAAAAGCATCTTAAGAAGTATGAATAGAAATTCAAAGACTAAAAAAAATGACTTCTGCTCTCTCTACGGGTTTATAATGTTACAGGAGTGACATCACTATGAAGGAATCTTCTTAGGAGACAAAATGTTAATCAAGGATTGAAGAGGAAATGATCATTTCTTTTTTTTAAATTTCTTTTATTCATATGTGCATACAATGTTTGGGTCATTTCTCTCCACTTCTCCCCGTAAATGATCATTTCTGATCAAGATATCTTAGAGCACTTAGTAGAAGTGATGATATCAGAAAGCACTGGAGGATGAGTAGAATTAAATCCAGACAGAGAAGTGTCAGAAGGACACTGTAGCCTTAGGGGTGAGAAATTAGCATAAATATGGGGGTTGAACCCAGGATCTTGTGCATACTGAGTATGCTAAGTTCATTAAATTACATTCTCAGCTTTTTTTTCTTTTTATGGTAAAAAAAATGTACATTTAGAATTAGTCAACTAGACTCAGTTCATATGATGTCAATTATGTTGACAACATCCAAAGCATCATAATCAGGAACAAATCAAACCTATGGATGCATAGCTTCTTCCCTACCTCTCATCAGGTTCTGACCAAGATGTTGATCTTGGCTACATTAGTGTCACAGCCTGTTTCATCAGGTGTTTTTTGCCCTTGATCTCCACAGCTAACATGAGTGTGTTGTTGTCTTCTGCCTGCTTCGTTGTGGACAATGGTCGGGGGAACTTGGTGGTGATGCGGTAGTCAAGCTTGTTTCCTGTGG